GTGTACCTAATGATATATAAAAAGCAGCGGGGAAAAGGGGGAAATGAAATGAGACATGGTATTGTGAGGGAAAGCCGAATGCGATAGGAATCTGTAGTTAAGAAAATGTGGCCAGTGATCAGGTGGAACAAGGGAGAGGGATAATTTCAGAAGCCTAGTAACAATCTGGATTTCACCATCTTGTTTATGAAATGAAACCGCCCTTGACTTTCGCATCGAGTCGGAACCGAAGACACTGACACACGGGTCGGTCGTCTTGGCACAGACTGAGGACCTCCTCTCACGGCCTATAAAAAAGTCCCGTCACCAAGGCGCATCGCTCGCTCGCTCTGCTTGGTTACTTATATCCCTTTTTGCTGTTCTTTAATGTTTTTCCTTTGTATTTTTTTCTTTATGGAATAACTATAAATACGTAAGAAGGTATAGTTTATATATATCATTGTATTAAGTATTTTGCCTATGTTTTTGTTCTAGCATACAGTAAACAAGCAACGTTAATATTGAATTGTTTTATTGCTGTTGGGATTAACCAACGGGAATAAAGAGCTTGTTTTCTGAATTTTCCGTGCGTGTTTCCTTATGTGTTCGAGTAACTACATGCATGTTGATCTCTTTGTCACTCGAGTTTACACCGGTCTCTTTACAGTTTTATTTTTAGGATTACCCTTTCGTCGTTTGATCTCTTACTCCCCGTACTAACTGCTCACCTTTTCCAACGAAGATTAAACGTATTTTCGAATTCCCGTATTTTACTGAGGCACTTTCAATCAAATCTGATTCTGGCTTTATTTCTAACCACTCCGTAACCTCCAACAGCAACAAACCATGAGACATGAGCCTCTGAGTGCTACAAACATACATCATAGCCACAACCAGACCCGATAACCTATTTGCGCCGTATGCCAGATCTCTTCCTTTGTTTGCTCGATATCTGTCGCCGGGTCAGTGGGGTAGAGACTTTCCGTGCCAGTGTAAAAGCTATAATCTCTCTTTAGTGTGAACTCCTTCGACCATGCGCGCGGTCGCTTCGTCTCGCGCGAAATTACTTCTTGAAACCCTGGACTATTACTTTCGTTATTTTCATCATTGGTATTGGTTTTGTTATAGTGAAGATGATTTTTGTCAGCTATATTTGCTGTTATTGTTTTCCTATTGCTTCATTACTATTATTCACTTTATGATAGCCACCACTACAACTACTGCTGTTATATTATTCATACTAATATCTTTCCCTTCGTATGTTGATAATGTGACACTGTGTCTGGGAAAATCAAAGGGTTTTCTTGTAGTCTGGATAAATTTGAAAATTCCCTTTCCTTTCACATTATTTTCCTCCGGTGTTCGTCTCACAGTCTTAAATTGTATGACATTATGAATACCAGAAGTACGTTGAAAATTCAGGTAGCACGAAATGAATGGCACCAAACTAAGTCGTCAGTCACAGCTGAACACCTGGTCATGCTGGCAGGAACCTCACGTCTCTTGAAGAGCCATGCCAATTTTGATACCTTGCAAAGAGGAGAGAGACACTTCGCACTTCCGTCAACTTTTATGCCAGATTTTACAGTGAATGTGTCTCTCCAGCGAGAATTGGATATTGAAAACAAAGATAAGGAGTTCTGTGAGTGTCAAACAACGCGTATTTCTCTTTGAAGTGAACTATGGCTTTTATAAGGAAAATAATTATATAAGAAAATAACATATGGATGCATCGTTTCCAAATAACGTATGAGGGATATGAAACTGACATTGCCGAACTGACAACACTCAGAGAATGCAGAACTAAACCTCCTTACGATACGGGAGGGAGCGCATGTAAGGCTGTCACTTCCTAACGAGAGGAAAGCTCCTTTGATGTTTGCATCGCATGTCATATATATATATATATATTATATATATATATATATATATATATATATATATATATATGTATTATGTATATATATATATATATATATATATATATATATATATATATATATATATATATATATATATATACATATACAATATACAAGCGTACAGTCACACGTGAAGAACACACTAAATCACAGAACGCATACACGCTCACAGAAACACCTACATAAATAATATAATATATATATATATATATATATATATATATATATATATATATATATATATATATTTCACGCACATACATATATACATACACATACATTCATACATACATTTATGTACACACGCACACACACACACACACACACACACACACCACACACACACACACACACACGCATATATATATATACACATATATGCATATGTATGTGTATCGACACATATGGTATATATCCTTTCCCATATGTCTATATATACATCTGTCGCCATCCCCATGTGACAAGTGAGGTGAAAAGTTGGGGGGGGGGGAGAAGGGAGGAAAGATGAGTCAACGGAGGGAAGGGGAAAAGGCGGACGGATACGAAAAGAGAGAAAATGCGAGAGACGAAAGGAATGAGAGAACAGACAAATGGATAAGAAAGACGGGGAAAAAAAGAGACAGGCAAACATGGGATCGTCACTGGAAATATAAGCAAATCAAAGAAGGAAAACAAGAGAAGGCAGAAAAGTAGACGAGGGCAAATAGAGGTGAAAGAGATGTTAGAGGGGGGGGGGCAGGAAGGGGAGAAGGGGGAGGGGGTGAAGAGGATCTGAGTCTGACCCAAGTTATTCTGGTCGCACCTACCATAACCGGACCTTAACCATTTTGCTCACCACCCCTTTCCCTGACTCTTCTTTCCCCTTATTTACCCCTCTCCCTACCTCTCTCTAACTTTCTCAACCCTACCCAGCCCGATCCATGTCTCCCCTGTCAATCTCTCTCCCCTCTCCCTCCCTCCCTCCCTCCCTCCTCACTCTTTTCCAGAAATACGCACATACACGCACACACAGACACAGATATACTTATATATATATATATATATATATATATATATATATATATATATATATATGTATATATATGTATTATATATATATATGTATATATATATGTATATATATGATATATATGTATATATATACATATATATATATATATATATATATATATATATATATATATATATATATGTATATGTGTGTGTGTGTGTGTTTGTGTGTCTGTGTGTGTATGTATGTATGTATGTATATGTACATGTGTGTGTGTGTATGTATTTACACACAAACACACACGCACAGATCAGACAGATGTAAAGATATGAAATTGACGTTGCTATGGTTACGAATCTGTCCTTTATCCTGATGACTTGCAAATAATAATCTAATGAATAAACGGATTTTATTTTTCGATTAAGTAAATGGTATTATATCTCTGATTTATCTAATTGCTCCTCCTTTTATTACGAAAAGAACAGTAGTTTTGAGTTGATTATTGCTTATTAGAGAGTGATTTAAAGATCCTTTAAGAAGAAAAAAAGAAACTTGCAGTATGTAAAATAATAATAAAAAGGTTCACTGGTGGTCGCCATCATGATAATGATAAGGATGATAGTAGTAGTAGCAGTAATGACAATAATGATAATTGATTATAATGATTATGATAACAATAATGATAATGTAGCAACAATTATAATGATTGTTTACGACTATCATTATTTCATTATTATTATCATTACAGTAATAATGATAATAACGATAGGAATAATGATGGTGATCATGACACTAATAATAATAATGAGGATCATGAGCATAATAATATTAAATAGTAATAGTAATAACAATGGTAATGGTAATACTTATGGAAAATTAATGATAATAGTAACAACAGCAATAATTTTCATAAGAAAAGTAATGATAATGGTAATACGTTAACTATAGCAATAGCAATGTTGATAAAGGTATTGAAATAATGGTGAGGATGCTAATGATACTGATACTAACAACAATAATGGTGACATTAGAAATAATAATGATAATGGTAGTAATAATAATAGTAATAATGATAACTAAAATAATAATACTAATAATGATAACAATTAAGGTAAAGCTCATGATAGGAATAAAAACAATTACCACAATAATTGTAATGATAATAGTAGTAATGATAACAATGATGATAACAATGGTAATAGAAATAATGAAAATGATATTAATATCATCGTCATCAGTATCAATATTTTCATCATTATTAATCATCACCATCATAATAAGAGAAATAAACAGACAACGAGTATATACACTCCTTTCTAATATTCATAGTAACCAATTTGAAAAAAAAAAAAAAAAAATATATATATATATATATATATTATATATATATATATATATATATATATATATATTTACACACACACACACCATATATATATATATATATATATATATATATATATATATATATATATATATATATATATATATACATATATACACATATATATACATATTATATATATATATATATATATATATATATAATATATATATATATATTATATATATATATATATATATACATTATATATATATACATATATATACATATATTATATATATATATATATATATATATATATATATATATATACATATATATACATATATATACATATATACATATATATATATAATATAATATATATATATAATAATATATATACATACATATATATATATATATATATATATATATATATATATATATATATATATATATTGAAAAAGGTCGGTCCGGTTCACAAGATCACATCACAGAAGGAAATATAGATAGTTATCAATTAGAGATATAAAGTAAATGAAAAGAAGAGGTGTAAAAAAAAGTCTTATTTCACTTTATAGAGTAAAGAGGAAGAGGGAAAAAAAGTCTTACATTAATTCACGAAATAGAGAGTCTTGTAATATCTTATAAGAGTAGAGGAAAGGTGAAAAAAACTTCTATTTCTCTATAGCGTAGAAAGAAAGGGGGAAAGAGGCCTAGTTCACTTTATAGAACAGACAGAGAAGGGAAGAAAACGTTTACTTCACGTTATATATCTTACCGTGAGTATCTCAGATAGCGAACCGAAGAGCCGATATATAAATTGTATCACACAAACTCAGATAAAACTCCGTACACTCCTCGAGTCTTGACGAGAGAGAGTGAGAAAGTGAGAGAGAGAAAGAGAGCTCGCCTCCCCTCGTACTACAACCCTTCCTCACAACCGTTCCTCACAACCCTCCGTCAGCGACTAAGTCCCTCGCAGGTGATGGTAGGGTGTCGGCTGCTCAGCGGTCGGGCGAACACTGAACTACCGACATACCCTTTCCTTGGCAGCGGTTGGCTCTTCCCATGAGGCTTTCCCGTGCGTTTTCTCCTCCTCCTCTCCCTTTCCTCCCCCTCTTTCGCTTCTCTCCCTTCCTTCCTCCTCTCCCTCTTTCGCTCTTCTCCCTTCCTCTCCTCCGCCTCTTTCGATTCTCCCCCCCCCGCTTTTTCTCTCCTCTCCCTTTCTCTCCTCCCCTCCTTCCTCCTACTCCTCCCCTCTTCCGCTCTTCTCTCATTCTCTCTTCCCCTCCTTCCTCCTTCCCCTCTTTTCGCTCTTATTTCTCATTTACCATCCTTCTTCCTACTCCCCCTTTTCTCCCCTTCCTCCTAATTCTCCTCCTCGCCGTTGTTGTTGTAGTTCTCTCTCCTTTTTCCTCCCTCTCGCTCTCTCTTCGTCTTCCTCCTCCTTCCACCTATCTCTATCTATGTTTATCTATCTATATATATGTATATATTTGTACACACACACACACACACACACACACACACACACACACACACACACACACACACACACACACACACATATATATCACAAACAGACACACTGAAAGGAAATGAGCGAAAGAAAGAGAAAAAGAAAAGTTTTCCCTGCACCTGTCTCCTCCTCCCCGCAAACAACCAAAACCTTTTACTTTTTTCTTCCTTTTTTTTCAAGCCCCGCCGCCCCGCCCCACGCGCTACTACTAGCCAGCTGGCCAGACGTACAGCGACGATCAAGATTGTACTAGCTAGCTATTTTCCGCGGAATCGGCTATTTCGAGGCGGGTCGTGGCAGAGAGCAGCCGAGCCGGGGCGAGAGAAGGCTTGTGTGGTCGTTGGTTGGCTGTCCATGACTCTTTCGTTATATCGGGGGTGTGGGTTTGTTATATCTAAGGGGGGGGGTGATGGGTTCGTTATATGGGGGGAGGGGGTTATGGGTGTGTTATATCGGGGGGTATGATGGGTTCGTTATATCGGGGTATGATGGGTTCGTTATATCGGGAGGTATGACGGGTTTGTTTATATCGGGGGGGGGGGGGAGAGGGTTATGACTGGTTCGTTATATCGGGGGCATGATGGGTTCGTTATATCGTGGGGGTATGACGGGTTCGTTATATCGGGGGTATGACGGGTTCATTATATCGGAGGGTATGACGGGTTTGTTATATTAGGGGTATGACGTTTTTTTTTTTTTTTTTATGTCGGGGCGGTATGACTTGTTATATCGGAGGGTATGACGGGTTAATTATGTCGGGAGTATGACGGATTCGTTAGAACGGCTGGTATGACGGGTTTGTTATATGGGGGGTATAATGGGTTCGTTACATCGGAGGGTATGGCGGTTTCCGTTGTATCGGAGGGTATGATGGATTCGTTATATCAGAGGGTATGATGGGTCGTCATATCGGAGGGTATGGCGGTTTCCGTTATATCGGAGGGGATGGAAGCAGTGCGGAGCGTGTATACTTGTATGTGTACATACTAATATATGGTTATGTATGTGTAGATTTGTGTGCACTTATTTACGTGTATTTTCTGTGTGCGTGCGTGCGCGCACGCGCGTGCTGCACATACGTCTACATACGCGTCAGCAACCCTGCCACACCCTGAAATCAGGTCACTATGTCAGCTGAGATTCATAACGAGACCCCACTTTGTTATCAAATATGGCGACTCGATTTAGCCCTTCGGCGCCAAGTGCGGAAAAAACGGGTGATTGGGCGCGATAAACCGATATGTAAAGTATTTATAAGAAGATCTGTAAGCGTGTATTTATATAAAGGTGTGACTGGACTAGAGCACTAGGCCAAGAGGGCGATGTGGGGGCGCGGGAGTCGAGACAGAGGGGAAGAGAAAGAGCTTGTCTTGAAGCCTCTCGGATAAAGACCTTAAGACGCTCACGTGGAGATAGAGAGAGAGGGAGAGGGAGAGGTGGTGAAGGAGGAAGGGAAAAAAAGAGGGAGAGGGGATGAGGGAGGGAGGGAGAGGGGGTGAGGGAGGGAGAAGGGAGGAAGGAAGGATTGGGAGGGAGGAAGGAAGGGTTAGGAGGGAGGAGGGAGGGAGGGGTGAAAGGACGGAGGAACGAAGGGGAGGAGAAGGGAAGGGGGAGGAGGAGGCTGAGGAGAGGAAGGAGAGAGGGTGGGAGCGGGGAAGGAAGAGAGGAGGGAGGGCGTGTGATGAGAGGGAGAAAGAACGGAGGGAAAGACGGAAAGAAGGAGGGGGAGGGGGTAGAGGTAGAAGGATAAGGAGAGAGGAGACAGAGATAGGGAGGTAGTGAGAAAGGGAGGGCGAGTGGGACGGAGTCGAGGAGAGATGAAGGAAGTGAAGGGAGATGGGGAGAGAGAGAGAGAGAGAGAGAGAGAGAGGAGAGAGAGAGAGAGAGAGAGAGAGAGAGAGAGAGAGAGAGAGAGAGAGAGAGAGAGAGCGGACTGAAAAGAGCCGCATGTTCAAATTTCAGTATAAATCAAATACTATGCAGATGACCAATTCATTAGAATTAACCCAAAAACAGAAATTCTCCGAAATCTGTAACCCACAAGATCTTTCAATGTCAGACAAGCCATTAAAACAATAAAAAAATCAAAGAACAAAACTATAGCATGTTAAATTGTCAAGGTATAAAATTAAGGTACAGTGATTTACTTTTTAAAAATGTAGAAAATGTTGCGCAATGCGATTTTCATTTGACTCGTTGCGTTCAAAAAGTTATTTTTATTACGTGCGTTCAGTTGCTATTTCCGTTTGCAACTTATGTCTTCGTCACGTGCAGAAGGCTTGTGAAAACCCACGTTTTTCTTTTCACTTTAATTGGAATTTCAAATTAACTTTGATCTATGTTTTTTATTGAAAACACAGCCATCGCTGCAGCATTCTTTTCTCTGTGCTGTCATACCAGTCTAAGTACACCACACACACACATATATACACCCCTGAGCGTGCGTGTGCCTGTGCAAACTGCGTGTATTCAGTCACACATCATAGTATATTGAAATGCGAGTGTGATGTGTGCGTGTGTTTGTGTGTGAGTGTGTGTGTGTGCGTGTGACAGACAGACAAAATTAGACAGAAGCAGAGCGCCAGGTGGGTGTGGGAGGAGGAAGTAAGTGCGAGAGTAAATACACATGTGGTTGACGTGGATGATTTTAAAACAATTTTGTGAATCAGGTGGAGTGTGGGTGTAGCGTTGGAGAAGGAGGAAGAAGTGGATAAGGGGAAGGGAGGGGAGGGGGAGATGGGGGAGGTAGGGAGGGGGGAAAGGAGAGAGAAAGAGGGAAAACGGATTAACAGAAATAGAAGAAGAAATAAGAGATGGGAAGGGGAGGGGGGGGGGGGAGTGGAAGAAAGAGGGTATAGGACAGGGAAGAGGAAAGGGGGAGGAGGGGGACAGCGTGGACTGAGTGAGAATAAATCGACTATGAAAAAGGTACACATTTCCCTTAAATGATAAAAAGGAATATATACATTTACGCAATAATAAAAAAAAAGAAAAAAAAAAGTTGAAGGGGAATAGTGAAGAGATTCCAGGAAAAGGAAAAATAACATGTAATGAAAAAAAAATGCATTATCATGGCACAGAAAGAAAACGCACAGGGTAAAGAGTTCGAGTTTAAAAAAGAAAACGCATACGATCATTGCCAGGGATACTTCAGAAAAAAAATTGAAAAGAAAAATATGATACAAGGAAATCTAAATGATACAAATAAAGTCATGAGCTTAAATGATGTCCAAATTAAAGAAAAAGAAAAAAAAAAAAACTAAAAATGGAAAGAGAAAATGACACTCAAATTCCTATATATTGGAAATGTAAAGTAAAAAGATAAAATGCAAACGGTAATTAGAGGAGGCCTAACGACGCATTTCACAAGATAAGTCTGAGCCAAACCCGGTGACATCTGCTGCCTCTTCCTTTGGCTCTGAAGTGAAGACTTCCTTTGGCGTGCGAGCTGATGTGTGTGTGTGTATGTGTGTGAGAGAGATGGGAAGGGAGAGAGAGAGAGAAAAAGAAAGAAAGAGAGATGGGAAGGAAGAGAGAGGAAAAAAAAGAAAGGGAAGAGAGAGAAAGAAAGAGAGTGGGAAGAGAGAGAGAGAGAGAGAAGGAAGGGAGAGGGAGAAAGAGAAAGGGAGAGGGAGAGAGAGACTGGGAGAAAAAGAGGGGAAGAGGGGATGGGGAGAGGAAGCGAGAGAAGAGTGAGAAACAGAGAGAAACAGACCAAGAGAAAGGGAGAGACAGAGAAAATGTGTGCATATGTGAATTTTTAAATTTATGTTCACGACCCTCGCTATTATCTGACATATTAATCCGTTTGTGTTTAAAAGCTCCATTTTCTTTAAGCTTAAAAATATACTTAGAAGTCCAATTACACTTTCAAGTTCAAGGATATCACGAGAGCGCAGAGTATATAGATTATAAAGAAAGTGTAAGAGGGGGAGTAGTCTAATGCATCTCCTCTAAAAAAATCAAATATATGCTTTATCTCCAACCATGACAGGGACTAATCCACCCTATATGTAGTTGGGTGTTTACCAACATGGCCTGAGTACAGAGGGTTGGAGCGGGACGGTACAGTATATGTTCCTCGCCAAAAGATAAAGAAAAACGAGGTATGAAGGTATGTATCGAAATGTATCTTTTTCTGTAATTAGTATGTTAAATGAACGGTTTAGTACATTCCGTACATAGTTGTTTGTAGAACGAGGCGCTATATGCCTTTACGTGGTAATGATAACTTGAATTCAATATTATAACAAAATCAGATGATCAATATAGCACATGTCACAAAAAATGATAAAATTCAACGACAAGTACACATAACATACTATCCTTTCCTTATGCGGGTCGGTCAAACGGTGCTACCACTTTTTGAGCGTGCAATGTTATTTACAAAATTAATTCAGTCTGTGTCTTCACTCAAAATAACATTTTACAAAATTATGCCTTTTGAAATTGAATTGGTACCTTACATGCCCTGTTGTTGGAACCAAGTTTGTAGGGTATGGGGTTTGTGTGCAA